AAAATGAATGTTATTTCATCCATTAATTTTAATTCGTTATAGGGTATTTTTAGATGACCTTGAAATTACAAATTCGACGAAATTTCCAACGTAATTCTGTCGTTCATTTGTTTACATTTATTTGTTTCTGGCAAAATTAACGTGTAACGAGATAGAAACCGGTATGTGTATAGTCTGTCTGCAAGAAGGAGGCTAAGCAAGTGTTTACATCCACGCTCTAGCTATAGTCTGTCAGCTTCCCTAGCAACGCATTGTCATTATCGGACAGAATAGTGACAGAGATCGACAACGTGTCCGAAACAAGCGAAATCTTCACAAAATCTGCATAATCTCTCGATCAAACTGTTGACTATTAACGAACATGTACATACATATAGATAAATAAATTCGTTTAATTATAAATTAATTTTGAAATATTAATTAATATTTTTATCAGTATAACATTTCTATTTTATTTATTATTAGCAAAAATACAAAATACGATCTGTACGATATCATACCTAAATTCATTTTTCCATGAACAGAATTTAGGAGTTCACCCTCTCCACTCGTATATCGCTGTACAGGCGATATTATACGTTTTAGCGTTGCGCTCGTGTGTCGCCATATAGTCGCCATCTTACATTTTATTATTCTACATATATTAAATTTGTCTAATTTTATAATTTGTTCTACTAAACCGACAAGTTAAATTGTAATATGTTCCCCCAATAAAAATGTTTTTATTTTGATCGAATATGAAAAAAAATCCGAGTTGATTGGTAGTCTTCTCAAATATAAATACGAGTGCAAAGGGTAGTAGATGATATAAGGATTGGGAAATTATGTCAATGTTACGAAAATATCGATTTTATTTCATTTTTATATAATTCGTCGTCGATCTTCGTCTCTGCCTTAATTAACTAATAATGACGATACATGTCACAGTATATAAGTAGTAGACTTATATACTAAACTTATATACTAGTAACTAAAATAGGAAAGTAAATACTTGATTACCCTTCTTCTCGAAGATGGACAGTTCAGATTACGTATAGACGTGGATATAAAATATATTTGAAATCAATAAAATACATTTGAAATCCAGTAATATAGTATATGTGATAGAAAATCAGTTGAAAATCACGATTTATTATAAATCGTTGAAATAGTCTTTAATCGTTAAAAGATCACTTTGATATCCCGATAAAAAACAAACATAAATGTATTAATTCCATTCATTTGACGAGTATCTACAAATACATGGTACAAAAATTTATTTAAAAACTTCCTTTTAATAAAAACGACCCAAATATAACAAAATTCGTTTAAAAAATTGTTGTACAAAAACAGCAAACGAATTATTTTAGATAATGGTTATTATTGGATCACCCGGTATATGAAATCGAACCGGATTATACGGTATTAAGATTTCGAAATTTTAGGTTAGGAAAGACTTCTACCTTTTACAGAGATACTTTTAATCACGGCAAGAAGATGTAATTACGATTGAAATCCTTAACTCGATTTCTTAGGTCTTGAATAATAGATGCAATTACAACGTTCTTTAGATTGAACGAAAGACATTTGGAATTATAAGGCAAGTTCGAGCACCTGCATTCGAACCGAAGAGCATTCGCTAACAACGAAAGAAGCGTAATATTCTTACAGGTTATATTTGTATTCTGATATTTTTATATTTCATATTATATTTCGTATATTTATATTGATATGGATGTCAAAAGTGTAAGATAAATAGAAATCTCCCTGAGGACAAGGTCAGACGTATTTGCTCGAGAATGCTGAGAGAAGAAATAAAATAGAGAGGGACTACGTGGTTGGTCGGTGAGCAACGACAGTCAGCCATCTGTCGGCAGTTATGCACATTACGAAACATACATTTAAATTATAGCATAGCAGTCCATCAAGATAGTACAATACTTAGTGCAGCAATTGTCAAACAAGCTAATGGACCAGTTAGAAAAAAATAAATAAATTAACATTTTTGAAACATAAAAAATCCAAAAATGGATACTATGTGTGAATAGCGTTCGATAGTTTATACATGTGTTTTGTATTCATATTGTATTGGAATATTGAAATAGCTTCCACTTGTAAAGAAAAATGCAATTTTCAACAGAAAATAATTTTCGTTTAATATTCAAATTTATGGTAAAATTTCGTATGTATGTATGTATGTATATGTAATAGCGTTTTCATACTGTTTTTTTCTCGTCGTTCTTTTTCTCGTTTTCCCTTTCTTTCCCGGCAGGTGGTACATTTGCGAGAAAAATTGAAAAGAATAAAATCCTTTTCTTTTTTTCTTTTTTCTTTTTAAAGAATGCACAATGAGGATATGCATGTTTCAAAATCTGTCTTTTTATATTATATGAAAACAGGTATTAAAAGAGATTTAAAAACCCATAACAAGATTCAAGATCACTGAAGTAGAAAAATTAAATAATATTTTGAAAATTTGATAATATTATATATTCTCTGAAACAGATTTTTATTACGATACTCCAGAAATGTAATGTTATAAATGATACAACAGAAACAAGTTATTAATCGAAATTTATCCATATGACGTGCATGACAAACGATAAGAATTTAGAAAATTAATTTTCTAAATTTTCAAACATAACCGTATATTCTTTTTCATTACATCGAGGACAAAATTGTATCGATAAACACGTATGTAATGTTAATAATAAGAGGAATAAAAGAAGTTTATTTTTGCGTTCCAGGACGATTCGTCTGTCTGAATAGATGGCTGTCACCTGCCTGTCTACAGTCGGTGAACGAAATCTATTGAGGTCGTAAAATCAGCAGTACTTAAAGTACTTATGCTGTAGTCACCGGAACAAAAGATTTGGCAGATTTATAGAAAGTCGAGTACTTCGGACCTCGCTCGGAGCCGTGTGAAGTGTCGGAGTTCCAATTTCGTTCCAAGTCTCTCTGGCACGATGAAACACCTTAGCGACGATATTCGGCCCGCGACAGAGCTTTCGGTCATTCCCGCATTCAACTTCACGGCGCCGCGTCATAGATGGCACTGGCGGCGCTCGCCGCGCGAGTTTCGTCCGCCGTCCGCGCCAACAGCGGCGCCACGATCGCGCTGTAAACATCGCGAGTGTACACCTTCTACCTACCGAGCTGAATTATCGCGAGAAGTCACGTCGCATAACGTTCAAGACATTCTCGTCGCAAATCCTGACTCTGCCTCGTCCTCTGGTTCCCTAACTCGATGGATGAACAGATAACTTTCTTAACTCCCGACCTTTAACCCGTGGTAAACCTACCGTGACTTCTGAGTGGCATACCTCAGCTGGGTATTCACAGCTGCAGACTTAGAGGGGAGTTATGCTTGCATTTTCCGCTACATTAATGTCCACACAGCAAAATTCCGAAGCATTTTGGTGGAATTTATAAAAATAATTAAATTACTACTTGATACTAATTTTATGAGGCTCTTGTAAACTTATATAGAATATATGCTGTTTTCAATTGACCAAATGAGTTATGGAAAAGATTGTATTAACCCTTTGCACTCGAGAGGCGATTCCCAGTCGCCATTTAATCGAATCCTACAGATCGATGTTAATTAATATATAAAATTGAAAATTACCCACCGATGCGTGGAGTATCGAAATAAAATAATTCTACGTCTTAATTTGTATACGACTTCTTATTTACCGTTTTAAAAATATCCTTGTCTTCATAGCAGAAAGTCTTCGAATTATTATTTTTCTGTAATGAAAACATCGCCGAGTGCAAAGGGTTAATACTTGGTCTATACTCGATTGCTCGATTAGTCTTAGATCGTTGAGCCATTATCAATTTTGCTGTCATGAAATTTATTACGATTGTTGGAATAAAGGAATTGTATAATTCCTATAACATTATATGAAATATTGTTTTAACTTTTCCAGGTGAATTAGGCAAAGAAGATTGGACCAGTACTTAATTTATGCTCACTCATTACTGATTTCAGATTGTTGAATTCTCAATAATAAAATAAGCACAGAGATGAAAGGAAATAGCAAGATGCGAGTTATTTAGAATTTTTTAAATACGTTTTGATTCACTACCTGTACAGGTATACTTGCGAATCAACCCAATACACTTGGTGGTTCCCACTACAATGGATTCACAGACAGCAATGCTGCCTAAACACTACAGTGATAATTCTGAGTTTGAGTTTATCCATACAATCTGTCAATGTATAATTATTATAAGTATTCGAATGTTTATGTGGCAAATTTTTGACAAATGAAATGAAACCCATTGAACTGAAATTTGGAAAATAATACTGTAATACAAAAGGTAATATACAAGTGTTGAAAATGTGAAGGAAATGATGAAAAAATCGAATAATAAATACAAAATTCATAGAACATTTAATGTGGACATACCTTTTATTAAAATGACAAATATTCGAAAACGTAAATTATGTTAATATTTCAACTATTTATTTCCACACGTTCGAGTACTTCCCTAACCTCCAAATACTGTACGTTTACATTCGATATTTCCCAAATTCCATACTTATTGTCAGATTGTTTTATAATTCACCGACACGAGAATTTTGTTTGTCAAAAAATTAATGCAATTATTTAAACACTTTTATGATTGATTAATTTACGAATCAATATTAAAAGCGTAGATATGAGTAGCGCTGCGTTACACAGGTGGCAGCACTGTTCTCGAATCCATTGGCGGGAAAATTAGAGTGTATAAAGGTTTTACAATTTCTATCAAAATATTTAAAATCTCTGGTGTTTTATTTTCAATCTACATGAAAAAATATGCTCTAGAATTTTGAACTTTATAATTCAAAAATATTTTTATTAGATAGATCATCAATCCTAATACATATTAGAAAACGTTTCACTGTGAGAAGAGTAAATTCTAAATATCTGTAAATATATTCGTATAACAGTTTTACTCACTTTTTTTATCTCTGTCGATGAAAACGAAATCCAGTAACTAATTGTAGACCATCAATGTCTCCGTAATGACGCCAGTGAGATGCAATGGGTTCAGGGCCCAAAAACTCAATTTTGACTGAAACAATAAAACAATATTGATTTATAATATAAACTGCAAGGTGCATTCATAATTTTGATAAAATTTTATTAATTTTTGATAACCACGTATATTCCCTTTCTTTCTCTCGCGTCCTTTTTTCTTTACAAAATTTCCGTTCTAAAATTTTTCGTACATGTTTTCGAATTAATTTACATTTTTCTTTCTCCGGAGTGATTTTTATCTTTTTCAATTCTGCCGTCGATAAAGAGGGAAACAATGTGGAAAGCGGTATGCCTGGCGAGTTACGCGTTATTATAGAGGAAAACGTGTATCGCGATTCCCATTTCCTGATGGTCTATTCATATGTAGATAACGAAACTGAACGGTAATCGATAGACTGCTGTGTGCAAGTCAAAAACTTTCCACAGTTTAATTGAAATCTTCGTTTCGCATTACGGTCAGCTGAACTTCGATCAATGTCGATTAAAAGGCAGAAACGATCTATGCGACGAAAAAAATTCATGGCCTATTACATACGAAAGAGGTCCTATGTCTTTTCACTTGGAATAACAGAGTTTTATTTCAAACGATAGTCGATCATTTATCATTTATCACAGATTTAAATTATTTTAGATAAAATGTAGAATCTAAAATCTGAAGTATAAAATAAATAATATTGGCCGCTTTGGATAAATTACAAAATTGTTGTTTTATCATTTTTAATATATGTATATATTTTAAATTGTTGCACTTTATGTTTTATATTTTATATAAATGCTTACTTATATTATTGGAAACTTAATGAACAAATAAGTAGATTCGTGGTAATTCGTCAGGACAAACATTTGACAAATGTAAAAAAGAATATATTTTACAAAATTCTATTAAAATTGATGCAGTAATACAATTTTTTTATATTTTATATTAGCATATTGGACTGCAAAAGCTTTAGTAAAATCTGTAATTATAAATTAGTAAAATCTGTAATTTTTGTGAGTGTTAGTTTTGTGTGTGAGTGTGAGTTGGGTTGAATGAGTGAAACTCATTTGTCATATAATTGTGCAATGTGTGATGTATAAATACAATATGACCGAGTGCTATATTGTATGAATAATATTTGAAAAATGTTTAGAAGAACAGTTGTCTGAGAAATATCAAAGAGAACACGTAAATTTGACAATAATTAACAGTGAGTGATTAAAAGGAGAATCTTACTTAAATAGTTTAAGTTACATATATTTTGTGAATTAGTCGTTAAAAAGATCTCGTATATTATTGTCCATTGTACCCACAATTTAATCATATAAAATTCTTGGAAAATGCATGTAATAAAACACCGATTATTTTTCGAAATACGAGTTTCTTTTTATTTCCATATAAAGAGTTTAAGAATTTGTGCACTGCGCGATATTTAATAAATCGGTTCTCTCTGTACAACGGTGCATTGCATTGGTATAAAATTACAAATACGATTATTTGTAAAACGATAAAAAATTAATACGCGCGGTCGAGAACAAAATTTGTACGGTTTATTTATCCCGTATTTTGCCCTACGTTTTATTTTTCATTTAATTTACTTCATACTCTATTCTATATTTTATTTTGTATTCCGACCATATAACAAGTACGCACACTTTTATCTCGTATCTGTTCAATTTCATTTCCAATTTAATCAAATTTATATCTAGTATTAATTTTAAACAAATGACAGTCGAACGTATATAAACAGATTAGAGAAACTTTATACCGAAACATAAAACTACCTTAGCACTACCATAAAAAACGCTGCTTTGCCAATTTTATCCGCAAAATAAATTTAAAAACGATACAGGGAAACAGAGAAAGAGAGAGAGAGAGAGAGAGAGAGAGAGAGAGAGAGAGAAAGCTGCAGTTTTATTTAAATCGAATGAACCAATTTCCCAGTAGTCCCAGTAGTAGTTGGAATACGCGTATAGGCAAGAGACGGTCGCTAGAGGCAGCACTGTCGCGCTGTTTGCTTTGCGCCATTTATACAATACATAGTTCATGCGTATCTGTCACGTTTTCGTAATTTCGTCCACTTCCTGCGTGTCGCTGAAAATATACGGACTTTTCGTAATTTTCGATGGAGTCGTGTTCTTCAACCGTTTCAGTCCCAAGCAGCGCGATCGCGCTGAACTTTGCTGATACATGTACGTCACATAGGACATCACAACAAGCGCTATTGCGACGATTGGGATTTTGCGGCATAAAATTAAACAAGCGCTATCACGCCGTTTGGACTTCTTCGCACTCGATTAAGGCAAGCGTTATCGCGCTCTTCAGGATTTTTCCACCGTGTTCTTCCGAAAGCCTCAAGCGCTGCTTGGGACTCAAACGGTTAACCCTTTCGCTTCGGGCGCCGCTCACAGGCGGTATCCACAATATGACCTGTGCATCCACGCGATGACTTCTGGGTACGGGCACCCCATATATCCGACATCCAAATGATGCATATACAAATGCAATCTGTTATTTAAGATTTAGGAAAACGCACAGAAATATACAGAAATCACACGTACTGTGCATATTTTTGACACTGCTTCCGTTCAATGACGTTACTTCGGTGGACTGAACTACCGAAGCAAAACGGTTAATCCAATGTGTCCCGTCCCGGAGAGCGTGTTTAGAATATGATTTTATAATTAAGGCTTACACTTTTAACAGACCTAACGGTTTATTTTATATTTTATAATGCGACTGCAATTCCGGAGGTTCGATGTGCCTCAACGCCGTTCTAGCGGATTAAGCTTATAAAGGTAACGCAAAATTAGGAATTTTACTAGTACCAGACGCGACAGATGGGACCCACTTGTGACAGACCCAACAAGCGACGGACGGACGGCACTTATAAATCACGTCATTGACCATCAGAAATCGGCTCCTTGACAGTTTCCTACTCCTTAGCCAAAGGTCCTTATGTCACACCCTCTGTCCAATTAAAACTCTTTACCTTTCCACCACCAACATCTATTTTACCCGATCAGAACTAAACTAGAGAAAACACCGGACCGAACACGACGAGACAGGACATGGAGCAAAATCGAGAAGTCAGTTCGTCTTCGGCACCGATCCTTCAAACATCTCAATTACACATACAAACGCGTGTTCGAAACGGTACTCCGTTAACGTCTACGTTATAACTATTCTACGCTTTTCTGTAAATAAACACTCTCCTTTGACCACACACATTCTGGATCCTTATTATCGCAACTAGTCACGCAATATTAATTTGGCGCGTGATAAGCGTTCTGGGAGATCGAAGAGATTCGATACCGTAGGACGCTACACAATGGATAACCTCAAAATCGCATCGGTCCGGCTGCACGATTCTTGTATATCGTCACTAGGTCGTTCTTGCTTGACGGTTTAGGATTAGTGACGGACGGCTTTTTGAGCATATTGTGCTTGGCTTTGAATAGTAAGTGGACTGTGTCGTTATCTTGATATCGCGTGTTTTCATTTCTTGCGTGCTACTAGGTCTATCATTTATATGAACCCTTGGTAGGGATATGTATTTGGTTATCAGATAGAGTTTCCGAATTTGAAGTGCAAGGGTAGGGGTTACAAATGGAAAAACGAACTGAATTATTGTCCCATACTGCAGGTACTTCGCGTATATGATGGACAAGCAGTAAGGTGCCATTGTGTTTTACCTGGAAAATGGGGTCGGCAATATGGTATTTCCCGACGAGTAATAATTCCACCGAAAGGGTATTGCAGGATTAACAATTCCGTTTTTCGATGCATCCTCGCAGAAGATCGGAACGAACAGCAGACTTGGCCGACAGCGAGTGGAGAAGTTGGAACAATAAGGGTGCAACGGTTGAGAAAAGTTGTGAAAGGGTTGAAGAGGGTCGGGAGACCAAGGTGCATCACGTGCACAGACTTGCTTTGTTATCTTCCGTTCTTTCGAATTAAAAATCTGCTATTTTTACGACGCCAAGCGAAGTGGAAAGGGGGCAGGGAAGGAGGGCTGGAAATAAGATGGAGAGACGGTGGGTGGTTCGACGATGGAAGTCGGAATCGTTTCGTCGTTGCCTCGATCGATTGACCGCGAAACCGACTTGCTTCGAGCAATTAAGAGTCATCGGAGTCGGTGTAATTTAGCGCAACAGTGCATGCACACGGACACTCCGCGGGTTGTTCTTCGACTAGGTTAAAAATAAACTTGTTAGTTTGCTATCGGAACTCCGTGTGCCATCGATAGTGGTGGCGAGATCGATAAAGCGTTGGAAAAATAGGGCACGTGCATCCGATGTGTATGGAACTTTATTTGTCACGTGAGAAGCTGCGCGCCCCGACAACGTTTCTTATTAGGAACAGGGGACATTGGGAAGCAGCAGACGAGATTATAGATCTCTTGTGCTTGTACGGTAACTGTAATATGGCGTATGACATATAGCAAAATATAGCATAATGTCGTGTAACAGTGTGACATGGCGTAGTAGTAATGTAACGTAATAGTATACTAAAACAACGGAGTATAGTTTAGTAATGTAATACGGTATAGTGTATGTAACATAGTACACAAATTTACTATAAGACAGTCTAATTTCATGTGATCTATCGACGTAATATAATATAGTATATTACAGTAATACGATGTCAGAAAATATACTATAGATAGAAATTTAATATAATATAGCATAGGAATGTAATGTAATATAATAAAATATAGCAAAATAATGTATCGTAATATAGTATAGTGATATAATGTACTATGCTCTAGCAGAATAATACAGTATAATATTGTATAATATAATATAATATAGGAGCTGTTAATCCTTGAAACACCGTTTTTGGTACTTTGTTCATTTTTCGTTTGTAACCCCCACCTTTATACCTCAAATTCGGAAACTCCAACCAATTACAAATTCCATAGCCCCATTAAGGGTCTACATAAGGGGTAGACGTCTGAGGTCGTAGAGTATAAAGACACACGATAGCAAGATAGGGACACAGTCCACTTACTATTTCGAAGCTAAACAGAACCTCGTCAAAGAACCGTCAACGTC